TTGGGGGAGACTTCCCACTGCACTCGCACGACACGCACAGCGAATTGTTTTCTTTTATGGCAGCACTTCCTGCTGCTTCCAATTTTGATACTTGGTACTTGTAACAGAAATAACTGAGTTTTTCCTAAAAAGTTGACTGACAAATGCCGGGTTCCTCCTTCATTTATTCAACTTTAGAGAAAGCAAATGTCCATGTAAATGCCATTACATTTTAAGAATTGATGTTCATAAAAAGTCTTATGTGTGGCCCAGATAGAGTCACCTCCAGCATCTGTCGCCAATTCGTTGTTTACTTAATTTCTATTCCACCCAATAGATGGCATTCTCTGGGCAGTTTACAGCACATAAAAATATAACATAAAATGCAAAGGACGTTGCCGTCATCGTCATCCTCGTGCAAAAGAGGCTTTCTTTACGTTTCAGACATCTGGCTGCACGGTGCAAAGACCGGCTGGGGCCGAGGGCGGCTCTTTCGCCCAGCCGGCAAGCTCAGCCTTGCCGACACTTCCATCCCCCAGGGAGCTGTGCCCGAGGAAGAGGAAGGAAAAGGGGCCCAGACGGGCCAAGCCGGGCAGCCTCGGGGCCTCGTCCGTTCTGCATCACCTGGAGGAGCTGAAGGGACGGTAAAGCAGCCTTGATGAGTGGGGACCCCACTTCCAGGGGGCTTCCTACTTCCCGGGAACCTGGGAGCTCCTGCGGGCATCGCCTGCTGGGGGGCCTAGAACTGTGGTGAATGCTAACCCTTGCGGTGCGGCTGCTGGGGGGCTGCTTCCCTGGCCCGCCCGCCTTTACCCATGATGCGGAAAGGGCTGCCGCCGTGGGGGTCTTCCTTGCTCGGTGGCGGAAGGGTCCTTTTGAGCCACGCCGATTTGGTAGCCCGCTTTCCCACCCACAACGGTGCTCAGCGCAAAGCCACCACGACCACCTTGCCCCCCTTCCAGGCTGGGTCTGACCTGGTCGTGGGACGGAATCGGCTTTGGCCCACCTTCGTCACAGGAGGGGCGGGGAGGGCAGGCCTGCGGTTTCGGGGCCGTCCCTCCTCCGCTTTCGGCTCCGCTGACCTGGGTGTCCCCTGGATCGGCCTGCAGGCGGGGTGCCGGCGGTCCTGCCAGAAGCGCCCGTGCCGGACCCGCTGCGGGGGGATTTGGGCAGTGTTGCTGGGCGCCCTGGCAGGGGAGCTGTGGGTCCCGCCGTGGCAGTGAGCAGCTGCACGAATCCATGGGGGGAGCTGGGGCCAGGCGGGAGCAGCCCTGGGCCGTTGCATGGACTGCGCTGGGCTGGATGCGGGCCAGCAAACCGCTGACCACCCCGGAGAGGCTGCTCGCCTGCTTGGGGTGGGGGAGATTGGGGCCGGAGTTCGGGGTATTTACAGCCCCACGGATGGCGCTGCAGTCCTGCGAGATGGTGGCGGGCGGGTGGGCAGGCAGGCAGGCTTACAGAAAAATAAAATTTGACCTTAGGGAAATATATACAAGTTTGGGTGCAGAAGAAGAAATTGAAGTGTTCGTCTTCAACCATATCCCAGAGCTGCCCTTATTTATAATTTGCATTTTATCTACGTACTCTGACTTTTCTGTTTGCCTTGGATGCTCTGCCAAACCGCATCATATCCGTCTTTGGCACAGACATTGGCAAAGTCCCTGCGATGCCTGAGTGTGTCGCGTTCATTACCGCAACTGTCGCCGTCACTGGGGTGGGAGCTGCATCCTCCTAGGAGCAAGAGGCTTCACTCCAAGAACGTTTCCTGGAACCGAAGGCGCTCCCTCGAGGAAGCCGGCCTGGATCCCAGGCGTCGGTTGCGTAATGACGGCCAAGCGGCAGGCGAACGGCAGTGCAGGCCGGAGAAGCCGGAGATGTCGGCCTCCCACGGTTCACGGCCCCCGTACCTGCTCTCTCTTTCAAGGCTGAAGGATGCCAGGTGGGGTGCGCCGGCGCCGCGGCGGCCCCATGGAGCGGTGGAAGGGGCGGCCGACCTGCCCCCCAGCGCAGCGCGTCCCGGCGTCCCACCGAGTCCGGTCTTCAGGCTCCCGCAAGCACACGTGGCCTTTGGTGGAAACCCCCCTGCACGGGGAGCGAAGGAAGGACGGGGGGAGGAGGAGCCGCTCTGCGTACGTTGCCCACCGATCGGGCCGCCGCGATGCCGCTTGCCCTGGGGGACATGCTGGGGGGGGGCCCTGTGTGCCCCGAGGGGTCATGGCCAGGGTCCAGTGCCCGGGCTCCGTGGAGGGCACGCCGCTGGGCCCCAACATGGGGGCCTCCCGAGAGAGCCGGGGGGCCAGGAAGCCACGCGACCTTTCCTGGGTGCAGCGGCTGCAGCGTCCCACGCCGGCCGGTTCCCCACACAACCCCCCCCCGAGCGTGCGGCACTCGGGTCTCAGGGCGGTGGTGCTCGTGGGGGAGGCCTGGGAGCCGAGCTCCTCCCCCGAGCTGCCCAGTCGCTGACGCCTTCCAGGCCGGTGGACTGTACCTCCCGTCATCCCCGGCCAGCTCCGTGCCGCGTGGGCTGGAGTGCATTTGGGGGGGTGTTGCGGTTGCTTTCCGCCTTAGTGGAGAGCCGTGGACCAGACGAAGGCCCTCGCCCTGCCCCCCGGCCAGTCACACGCCCCCAGAAAGCACGAGGGCGAGAGCTGGGCCCGGGCGGTGCTGCCCCCTTCCGCCGTCTTCCGCAGAAGAGGAGCGCGCTGCTTGGGGGCGGCACGAAGGCCACGCCGTGCGCGGATGGCTCATCGCCCCACGGATTCGCCCAGCGCCCCCTTGGGACCACGTCTGTGCATCGCGTGGGGCACAGGAAGGCTGTCTGGGGGGGCAGGAGGCGCCCTCAGAGAGCTCCCCGCTCTGCTTTCAGCTCCTGTGTCCAGAGTGGGCGCCTGCCACGAGAGCGCCACTGGCCAGGCCTCCGCCGGGGCCCCCGAGCTCCCTCCCGCCGCCATGCGGGGCGCCGAGCAAGCGGTCGCTCTGGAGGTCCGGCCTGCACGCAGAGGAGTGACAGCGCCCGCGTCACGGTAACGAAGCCCCTCTCTCTGCGTGGGGAGAAAGAGGCCCGCGTGGTGGGTGGGGGGGCCGCGCCGGCCCCAGAGGCGGGCACGCGCGGCCCCGCTGCTCCCGTGAGTCCGGCCGCGCGGGGCCTGCCCTGCCGGCCGCCCCCCCCCGTCCGTCCACAGGCTCCCTGGCTGTGCTTGTCTTGCTGCTCGACTCACACTCGAGTGCGTGCCAGGGCGCCTTCCTCCGGCTTTGTGCTTCCCCGGGCCTTCTGCTGCCGGTTGCAAAAAGGAACGAGGAAGAGCCGGCAGCCGATGCCGGAGAAACTTCGCCGCGTTTCCATAGTAATGCGGCGGCGGCGGCGGAGAAGCGAGCGCCCTGCTTGGGTCCAGCTTGGCACCCCTCCCTGCATAGCGTGGGTGTGTGCTGTGGTTACCAAACATTTACTTGGGAGGAAAGGAAACCTGCGGGCACGTTCCCCCCCCTGGGCTCGTTCCAGTGATCTGCAAGGTGTGTGCGTGGAACAGGTCCCCTTTCTCCAGGGATCCCTTCCCCGGCCTTTCAGAGGAGCCATCTGGCTGGCCCGGCACCCACCGACGGTCTGGCCCAGGCCGCCCCTCTCTTTTTCCTCCGAGTGACAGAAAACCCGGGCCTGCAAGAGTCCTTTTCTTCCGCAGTGAGAGCGGTCTGGAGAGGCGAGCCGGAGAAGCAGCAGCAGTGGCCTCTCCCTTGTCCAGTTGGTGCCGGGGCCCCCGCCTCGCGAGGACCCCCAGCGAGGGTCCCCATCGCCCCTCCAAGCCATGCGGAACCCTCGCTCTCCGCCTGCATCCTCGGGGCAGGGGCAGCCCTGCCTCCAGCGACCGGAAAGGGGCTTTGGTCTGTTAAACGTGTTTTGAATGGAGACAGACCCGGGGAAATCGTTGCCGTGGGCTCTCCCAGCGGGCGTCTTAGGACCTGTGTGTGGGCGCAGCGTCTCGAGCCCTTTCGGAAAGCGCCCCCGTTCCCGCTGCGCCAGGCACGGCTCCCCTGCACACCTCTGCGCTCGAGGACGAGGAGCCGCGAGCGCCGCCTCTTCGTCTGCGGGATGGGCACCGTGGAAAGAGCCGTTGTGTTACAGAGATCCGTGTAAATGTGAAATAAATTCTGCTCTTTTGAAGGGCAGGAAGCAAAAGCCAGGCCTCCGTTGCTTTCAACTTTCATCGCGGGTACCCAAGAAGAAAGGTGGCTTTCCGAATGTCTCCGTCTGCCACTCAGTCCGTGCAGCTTTTTAAAACTGCGCTGGGGGAAACAGCCCCGCATTTCCAATGTGCATTCTGCTTCCTCGGGAGTAACACCAGAGCAGCGGCGCTGGATGAGGCCGCCCACGGCCGGGCCGGGCTCCGAGGAGCGAGGTGTCCCCTCTGTTACCCGGCCAGCACCCGGGAGCTAGAACCGCGCCTCCCCCAGCCGGGCATGCCTGCAGGAACCGGCCTTCCTCCTCATGTGTTGGACTACAGTGCCCATCCTCGGCCAGTACAGCCCGCCTTGCTGCCCCAGGTGCCCCTGCTGGCCGGGCCCGCCCGTCTCAGGCGCTGCCCCCCACGGAGGCCGAGGTGTAACAGCGGATCCCCGCTGCGGGCCCGGGGGGCGCACGACGAGCTGGGGGTCCGGCGGGAGGGGCGGGCGCGTCCAGCCGGGCAGCGGGACGGGGCGCGC